CAATGTTTGGTGGTGTTTTTTTTTTTGAAAGATTTGTCCAATTTTCCTTTGGCCTTCTAATTTTTACTTGGAAACAGTGTGGGAAACAATCTGGTTTTGATGGAGCCCCAGATTTTTGAGTGTATGTGTGTGTTCTAAATAAACTCAACTAGGTCATATGACTCATATGCTTTCCATGGTCTCATTGACTTCATTGTGTCTAGAAACTATTTAATTAATCTTATTTGAGCAGATAGACAGTTTTGATTGCCTCTTTTTAAGAAGATGAACTGTTTTGCTCAGAAGATTGTTCTCTAAGTTATTTTATGTAAATTATTTTCTAAAAATGTGCAGAAATTTGATCGATTTGTATAGTAAAATAAATACTTCAGTTCTTGTGGTTTGCAGGGACAGCCATTGTCTAGCTTCAGCTTTGTGATTAAGCCTTGAGGAAGAAATACAGAATGATGAGAAATGCACCAAGAAACTACCGCCTTTGGAAAAGTTAACAGGCGTTCTGGGGATTTTATCTTCTCTACATTTTCATTCCTTTATAGTAAAACAAAACAGAAAAGCTTACCAAAATGACCACTTGAGAGTATAACTCAATATGTCTGAGGCAAATTTCATTTGAATCTATTCAAGAAAACATTCTAACACATTCATCTACCTAAAGTTTCTTTATAAAATTTAACAACACAGAGGTATTCCTATAAAAGCAGATATATACAATAACTGTAAATGTGTGCATTTCCACATTTATGTATACTTATGTCTTGATATTTTAGTTTTGCATGATAGTATCTTACATGTTTTAGCATTTTTTGCTAGTATTTTCAAGATTTAACCTTGATTTGAAATATTCTAAGGTCTGTCTCTATGTGTCCATAAATTAGAAACGTTGGGAAAGGAGAAAATCTTAAAATTATACATTTACTTTGCATTCAGTGTTGACAAGATTTTTGATTAAAAAAAAAGAGATAAAGGTTAGGACAGTAATTTTTTATTTTTTAAATCACTCCTATCCTCTTTTATGAGATCAATACTACCTCCAATTCTCATCTAGTAATCACTGATTCAACATGTATTAATGACTTGTATGCAACTAAATATTACATGCATGCTTCCTCTGATTTTTTTTTTTAAGTTTTAGGCTCATTCCAGGAACTTTCCTTTGAATACCACGAAGACCTAATGCATGTGAACTTTAGGATGATTCACTGCAATACCTGCACAGCTAAAGAGCAGACTTTATATAACTATAACATCATAGCATTTCAGATTTTAGTTCATTGGGTGTTTGGATGAAGCCATTTTTAGAATGAATATTAATTGGTATTATTATTCTGAAAATATTTAAGAGTTCAAGTGAAATATGAGTTCAAAATTTGAAAACTTAAGTACTTGAGCTGAAGGAAGTAACCTCTTTTTTCTAATTTCCAGTCAAAAAGACATGAGACAGTGGCCAGTTAATTTTCAGGTATTTCCCTTTTTAATTCTTTTAATATAGAAAAGGAGATGGTAGGTGTTATCAGAAAACTAGGAAAAATTAGAAAGGAATTGTTATAGAAATGGCCTCTCATATAATTACATCATTCTTCTTACTTTCTGACCCCAAAATAATCCATGTTGTCTGGAAAATGAAGAGGTCAGATGTTTGTGCATTTTGTCAAGTGTGGTTAAGTTGATATCTCTGAAGATTTATGACTCTTTCACTACCTGTCTTCTCCTGTTCCCCAGGCTGTCGACTTGTCTGATACTCAGATTAATTTATTTTTAATTAAAAATAGTTAGGAAATAGATGAAGTTACATGGAATGTGTGTGTGTGGGAAGAGAGAGAGAAAGAGTCAGAATTTGCTGGATCTTTGATCAAGTCTCTTCGTATATTCTTTTCTTTCTTTTTTGATTTTAATTTTATTGTCAAGGTGATTTACAGAAGGGTTACAGTTACATACGAAAGGTAAGTACATTTCTTATTGAACTTGTTACCCCCTCCCTCATTTTTCTCCCTCTTTCTGTCTCCCCAACCCTTTCTCTGTATATTCTATGACACACACATTATTTATTAAATTATTTAATAGTATAGTAACTGATTTTTAAAGTATATAAAAAGTAAAAATAAATAGTCAAATTAAAGAATAATTTTAAATGTATCCCATAATTGCTATTAATTTTTTTTCTTTCAAACTATAGCCAAGAAACAAATATCTTTCGTTGTTTTCTTTGAAGGGAAGAACCAGATTCTGGATTATTTCCAAGCCATCCAGACAGTTATTTCAACTGGAACAACTGACCTTTGGAAGAGACTAAAACATAGCAGCCTAGCCAGACAGAGAAGAGGGAGTGGTTAGTTGGGAAGATCTTCAATGTTGTTCTTATGAAATCTCATTTGAAGAGGACACTAAAAAAATTAAGAAAAATGAACCTTAAAATACTTAGAACTAATGAACCACAACATCAACAATATAGGCAAAGGTGAGTACAATGTGAGCTTTCTTTAGTGCATCATTCAGTCTCCTAAATACAGGGAAAATTTTAAATTATATTACACTTACCTTTGAATTTTCGTATCCTTCCAATAATCATTCTTTTGTTTTCCTCCCTCAAGTGGAACAGATTTCCTTAAGCCCCTTACTTCATGGTATTTGTTAGTTGGCATCTAGGCAATTGTCAAAGTTCTATTTAGCAAACAAAGTACTGCTTCAATAAACGTTAAATTAATGGTAAAAGTTTTATTAGAGAGAAGAAAGTAGTCATCATCTTCCAATATTTATTTAGAAAGCATGTGGTAATTTCCTTTCCAAGAGAGCATAAGAAATTTGAGTTGACATCATTAGCAAGAAACATGCTAAAGGATTATCTAACCTCTTGCTAGATATTATAAAGTGCTTGGCACCAAAAAGAACACAAGGTAATCCTTTGGGGTGGTTGAAGAATTAGTAGAAGGACTTTAAAATATTTTATTAAAAATGCAAAAGGAAGATGTTCCCAAGACAGTATTTTTAACAATTTTTGAAAATATAAAGGGTAAATCAATTTGGTCCAAGGTCTAAGGTCTGAAGAAATGCAATGGGGTATCAGAACGTATGTTAGTAGGAAACTAATTAGGTATAATGCAGAACTGGAGAACCTTGTAGAGTGGAACTCCTATACTTTTTAACCAGGTCCACTTCATTGAAAACAATTGCACTTAGAACTCCTACTGTATGTTCTAAAGTGTCTGTCCAAGTGGATGCAAACTAAGAATTTTGTTCAATAGCTTGCCTCTCACATGCACCTGAATGCATATGAACACTATGGTTAAAAGCTGGCACTAGAGGCTGAGATCTAAGGATCTTGGTTTAAAGCCAACCTAGGCACACAAATCCATGAAACTCTATGAGTAGAAAAATAAGTTTTTAGAATGGTAATGCAGTATGTATATTTATAAAATATTCATATTCCAGAAACATTCATTTCAAAGCAAAGAAATAGAAGACATTCAGTGATTTAAGAGTCAGTATCTTTGCTAGAGTAAAGAAATGCCACTGCAGATGAATTGAAGGCCAAATATATCTTTAGGGTAGAAAATGGGATACCTTAGATTTTAAATAAAACATATGATGAAAACATGGAGCAAGTACAAAAGAATTAAAGATTCTGTGAAGTTTAAAATAGAAGGATAATTCTTCAAAGATAACTAGCAACTAGCAAGGACAAAATACTTCCTGTAGCAGCCAGAGATGCAAGAGCAATGACAGCCTTGTCCATATCAACAGCTTGTTAATTGCCTACAAAGGGTGTAGTTTAGGTGGAATCTGAGATTGAGTTGTCAAAATTGAGTCCAAGATTCTACAAGCAATTTAACAGAGGCTGAAACCCAAAATCACAAGTAAATGTTGAATTTGGAACTATACATGGAACCACTGGAATAGAATAATAGTAACAGCTAGTTTTTTTTTTTCATGGTTATGGTAACATCAAAAATAAAAATGAAATGTAACATTGTAAAATCTATCAGAAATTCTTGAGTATTACTTTTTGTACTACAACTTGATAAAAGTCCCAATCCAAAATGTCAGAAACAAAGAGAGGAAGAAAACCTTTGTTCTTGTACTGCATTCCCTCTGGATTACTTACTTAGTGAAAGTAGTCAAAGTAGCTAGTTCAAGGCACCCATAATAAAGCAGATAATATGTGTTACTTTTTGGTTTCTATAGTACTTCAATACATACTATTTTTATATATTCTATTTATTAAGATCATATACTTTCCCTATATGACCAACTGAAAGTAGGGATCTTGTCAAGTCAACAAACAATATATGTAATCAAACTTACTAAGTATCTTCTTATCCATATGATATAATATTAAGTCACAGAGAGAAAGAAGTACATTTTACAGAGCAAACTTTTGATTTGTTGGGTTGCAGAAGTTTGTGTGAATGAGATCAGTGTGCTTCTAAAACAGTTTAATACCATACTGTGGATAAGTTTCAAACGTCTTCATGACTGCACATTAGTAACAACCCCAATCCTGCTATCAAGGCTATCAGTCAAATCTTCTTTGTATTATTAACTATAAGAAAAGAGTCCTAATCTTGAAACATGATGTCTATATATAATGTGGTTATTACCAACAGATGCTTTGGTGAAAAGAAATCACCCTAGGACATCTCTTACCAGCAAGGCTAAGCATGTGTCTCACAACTCTTAATATTGCTCATAAAACAAACTGTATGTGGGCTGTAAGAAATGAAGTTACACGTAAAACCTTTTATGGATGGGATTGGGAAAAATTGGAGAGGATAATGGATAGAGTAACATTGCTTAAGATGTACTGAACTCACAATATGACTTGTTGAATTGAAACCCCTTTGTATAACCACATCAAATAAAATTTTCCCTGTATTCAAAAAGAGTAAAGCCCTTTCATTCTCTGTTCAGCTCTGATTTATGAACAAGAAAATTTGTTCAATTTTCAAGTATATTTAGAGACTGTTTAATAAACAAATTGAATAATTTATCTAAAATCCTTTATTCTCAGCAAAATCAAACATATCATTGAATTTACATAGAAATACAATTTTTAACCATGTCTTTCTTCATAAAAATGTACTGGTGAAATAAAATGTTCATAATTAATGACCAATTATGTACTGTTTAATCATGCCAGTAGCAGAATTGACTACTATTAAAAATTGGTAAAGTAACATATCTTAAATATGCAAATATCATCTCAGTACTGTATTGTGTTACCATTGATAATAAATGCCCACTAAATATATACCTATTGCATAAAGCTTTTTCAAGTACAATAAAAATACAAATTCTATCTGTTAAAAAAAAGCCATGTGGCTCCTAAACATCCTCATTATACAAATTCTAAAATTATAAAGACTCTACTTTGTGAAATATATACTGTCCTCTAATTACGGTACAACTTAGAACGTAACAAAACACAAATGAGAAGCTTCACATATACTATACAACATTATGGCGATGCATACCAGTACAATATTGCGTAAGTACACTGATGTCTGTTCTTAGAAAATGTAGCTTTAATGCTTGAACAAAATTCCCATGTGTAAAGAATCTATTTATCTTTGGTGACTATCACCAATCTAAGTCCATATTTTCACTCATTTTTCTTAATTCTTTGATAAAACAAAGTAGAAACTGATCATTGTTTTTTTCTGCATGATTGCTGGTTCTCTGTTACACCATGGGCAACAATATTCAGAACTTATCAGCAAATCATTAATGAGATTCCAGGAAATTTTATTGCTCACATTCATGATGCAGCTCATCAGAAAATTTATTTTGGTGAAAATTAAGCTTTTGACTTTAACAGACCAAGTACAAATTTAGATGCACTAAATGCCTTGATAATATCTTTAGAATAGTTCTCTTTATGTTTTAAAATATCAAAACAATGAGACATCATAAAATAAACTTTGGTGAGAAAAACTATAGTTGGTAATACAAGGATAAAGAACAACTTTAAACCTAGAGATGATATACATTCCAAATGGTTTTCCTTACGAGATAACAAATGTAACTTACTCACACATTAGAAGTGAAATAAAATGAATCAAACGTTTTGGAATACAACTGAAATTAACTAGAAAAGATTACTTAAATTTCATTTAATTGTCAGTGAAATTTATATTTTTTCTTTACTAATTTAAAAATTTGAGGACTGATGGCATAATTTCAAAGTTTAAATTTTCCCAATTATGTGAACATTATACACATAAAATAACATTGTCTCATGCATATTCATTGTCTGTCTCATAATATATTCATTGGTTTGAAAATAGAACACTAGTTTAGTTTGGTGTCAACATGTCTCTTCAGAATTTTAAAATATTTAAGTATGGTTTTTGGGGGGGAAATCAATAAAAAACTAGCAGCCTGGAGAATAAATGCATTGCAATTATTTAGAACTCAGACCAGACAAATATATAGATAACTTGATTTTCAATGATAAATTCATCCACAACAGAAACACGAACAAAAAACTATGACATACACTAGGTTGTATTTAAAATTAAAGATACTGATCAACAGTCAATGTGGAGAGACTTCACTACAAAAGCTTTCAAAACATTAAGATATCCAAAAATATATTGGCACATGTTTAATACCTGTCTTAAAATAATAGTGAATGCTATATGTGTATATAAGCAAATTTAATATGAGTCAGGATCTTTCTTTCTTGATATCAGCATTTGCTGTCTACTGGATCAAGACAAAACACGGTGCCTTCAAGAGTTAGTCCCATTTTGAACCCCTCCTGTAAAACACAATAAAATCATTAAAATAGGAACATCACATGACAGAATAAAATGAAATAAAATCAGCAGGTAAAAACAGACTAAATAGAACTTGAATCTTAACATTTTAAAATATCAAAACTTACAAGGGTGAACAAATACAACAGTGGAACTGATTAGACACTTGTGGATGAGGACGGGGAGGAAAAAATGGGAAGAGAGCAATGGGAGGAAAGACATGGTTTAAAAAGAATTATACTCATTACTCATTACCTGATTCATGTAACTGTAACCCCTCTGTATAGCAATTCTCCAATAACAATAAAACAAAATACCCAAAAAGTCCTATATAGTAGGCCAAATTAATTGCCTATCAGCATTTCATGTAGATATCTTCCATTGGAAATATTCTTACACTCATAAACATTTTAATGTTTTAAAGATATGGGAGATTAGTGTATATGAGAAAAACATAGGAATATATGAAATTAAGAAGTATTTTTTTTCTGGTAGAACCTAAAGAATATGTCAATATTTCCCTTAGATATTACTGAGATTGCTGTGCATCACTCTAATGAGAGGTTCTGATCATTTTGATTATTTGGTTCCTATTACCACTGCCCAGAACCTTACTTTCTGTAAATGCAATGCCATTCTATGTGTTCAGATTGCAGATTACATGGCTTGACCATGAAGAAAGGACCCCATCTTAAGTTCTGCTTTTGCTTTTCAGTGGCATGGCTCCTTGGATATTGTTCCATTTACACATTTTAGAAATTAAACAGCCATTAATGTATTGGCCCTTAAGCACCTAACAGCCATGAATATGTTTTGTTCTTTTCTCCTAAGACTTTTGAGCAAAGAAGACTGTCCTTCTCCACTTCCAGCATTTTTATTTTGCTAACTAAACTGTGGGCTACTTTTGGTCTTTCTAGCTGCTTCCAGCCTCATCTGGTTTCTTAATCTATGCACACTGGCCTACACAGAAATGAAAAGCACACAGCTTGGCAGGGGTGGCTCACGCTTGTAATCCTAGCCACTTAGGGGGCTGAGGGTTGAGGACTGCCAGCCCAGCAGGAAAGTCTGTGAGACTTTTCTCCAATTAGTCACCAAGTGGAGTTGTGGAGAAGTGGGGCTGTGGTTTGAGTGGTAGAGCTCTCACTTTGAGCAAGGAAAACTCAGTGACAGCACCCAAGCCAAGCCGGAGAGAGAGAGGAGAGAAGAGAGAGAGGAGAAGTGAAGATAGGGGAGAAGAAAGACAGGGAGAGAGGGAAAAGCAGAGAGACACAGAGAGAGGAGTCATGGATCAGTGGAAATGCAAGTCACTTGGCAAGTTCCTAGGATAAAAAGTGTGGTAGTGTCCCCAAATTACTTTCATTTGAAGTAACTATTTGTGTTTATGCAAGCCAATGCAAACATTATAATGTAGAAGGAAAATAGCTACAAAAATATAAGCCATATTTTATTTGTAATTAATGTTCAGAGAATGCTTTAAAAAGAGTAAACATCAATATCATAATTGAAATAGTTTTTCAAATCTTCCCAGCACTTGAGTTACAAATTATATTCAATTGGGTAAAGATCAAAGGAGTTATGAATGTTACTTAAATTTTTGCCATATTTATTTTGAGTATTTTCCCAATAACCAACACACACTTAGAAAAGAGAATATTTCAGTTGAAAATACTGTAAATAAGCTGTTCTTTTAAGATGCTTGTCCTGAAAATTCTAAGTTTTAATGTGTTAATAATATTGGAAAGTAAAATGAAGTGTTTGTATGTCATAATACTGCCATCATGTTTTTTTTTAATTTTTAAGATCATTTTAGATTCCCCTTAGGCTAATGTAACCTTCCAATGAACAGATATCTTATTATAAGGCCCGTTAGTTTCCTTTCCTTTCAAAATAAAATGTCTTGCATATTTTCTTATCTTCCTCAGAAGGTTCATTTTGTAAATCATAATTTAATAAATTTGCAATCATTCTAAATTTTCCATATTCTCTTGAGTTTCAAACTTGAAACTAGGCTTGTTTACAAAAGGTAGTGATAGGAATTAATATAAGCTAATATCATAAAGACTGATTTTACAACTAAATAAAAAGCAACTGAGTGAGTGCTGATGGATCACACACTTGTAACCCTAGGTACTCAGGAAGCTAAGCTCTAAGAATCTCATTTGAAAGCCAAAATAATCAGCGAAAGCACTAGCTATGTGCTCTGTCACTTAGACAAGGAAAATATTTCATTGGCCTTATTAAACCCATACTACTTACAAACCTATTATTGCTATTCAAAGATACAAATAGTTGACTGTATATATTAGGTTAATTAAAATAGAAAGGATCATAACAAAACTCATTATAGGCATTACATAATAAGAATACTATTGAACTTCAAATTGAGCTAAAAGTAAATCTGCAACTATCAGAAATAAGCGATAAGGTGAACAACATAACTGCAGCAAAATCGCTGAGCAATAACCATAAAAATCTGTTATGAAACATCCTTAACAATAAATGATCAGTTGCATCATAAAGCATGCCAATATCAAGAATTCAGGTTTTACAGGATTGTAAGCCAATTAAAAGTATTAGGAAAACAATATACCAACCATCTCTGGCGCTACCCACCATGAAAGCAGAAAAGAATAAAAAAGGACATCAAGAACATATTAGAAATAGCAAGCACAAAATTCACGCACAAAACCACAAGACCTCCCACCCAGGGCCCCTGTCACATTCACTTCTACATATATATATAATATATTCTATATATATATATATTTGCCCCAGGCTGTAGCTGCCTAACTGGAAAAAAATTAATAAAATATTTTTAAAAGAAATTGCTTTTGGCAAAATTCAGCATTTTCAAAAGCTAATTGTATGTAATTTGAGTGAAAGTTTCATAGTATTTGAAATGTGGAAAAGGGATAGAAAGTTGGTGTCATCAAACATAAATAGATGCAAAATATTTCTGCTGAATTAAACATAAGTCTGATATTGTGCTTTTGGTTATAGCGGAATAATTTCATCCTTCCTATTATATCAAATTATTAATTTACATTCTATTAGTGTTATAAAGTTCATTTTGAAATCAAAATAAGACTATAAGAATGCCAATTAGAAGTGAAGCACAATGTGAATAGGAATGGATTATCCCAGGACCAATAAGCAGAAATACGTCCCCTACCTGACTTTATTGTCCTCATTTTCTCACCCAATTAACTTTATAAAACTGTTTAGAGTCCACTTATATAGTTAGTTTTATCAAAACATGAGGAGCAAATTGAAAGAGAAGACTTTACTTTTTAAAAGTCTATTTACTAATCATGGCCCATTGAATAAAGCTTTTAAAACCAACTTTTTTTTCAATTTTAAAGGATGACTTAAATTAAAATATATGTATATATATTATGTAGGAAAAAGAGAGAAAGAAAGAGAGAAGAGAGAGACAGAATACCCAACTGGACTACATTCCTAAAAATGTTGTCACTGGTATGGTATCTGCTTTCTCAATAAGAGCCGAGAAGTCATGAACCACAGCTACAATGCTTCTTTTCAGACAGAATGATTTCACTCTTACAAAGATCTTCCCTCATTTACCCATTTGCAATTTTGAAATTCACAATTGTTAAGACTGGGATCAAATCTTATAAATCTAATAAATGACCTTTTAATTTCTGGATTTCAAAACAACAAGCTATTGTAATCCATGACAGTTTATATTTTAAAAAGGAACTATCTACTTTTTACTGTAAGTTGAGCCATTAAAAAGACCATTTAATATTTAAGCTATTCAGAACTATTTTGGGAGGACATGTAGAAACTTTAGAATTACATTTTAATGTGCTTATATTAAGAACATTATGTGCCATCAATTCAAGAGAGGGTAGTTTGGGTATATAAGTTATTTCTTGTCCTAGATTAAAAAGAAATAAACCATGAATGGGCCAATTTATTAAAGTAGTCACCTGCATCTCATCTAATTTTGATTGAATGTCTGGAGGGAAATCCCCTGCTCCACAGTTAAATGGGTCAAATGGTTCAGCTCCAAAGAGGTCTCGTTCTAAAAGGAAGAAAACATGTCAAGTAAGTGAAAAACAGGAAATAAGTTGTGGTGAAATAGATTTCAAAGGGAGGATTATATGAATAAATACAAACAGAATTATAGATACAAATAACCCTCCATATGACCAAATAAGCCACCAGCTACCCTTTGACTATGATGGCTGTCTGGAGCGTAGACTAACTCAGGGAGCAAAGATTCAGTTTATGATATCAAAAACTGTTTAGTAATAAAGTGCTATTATCCAAAGAAGGTTCTGTGTCTTGATTACGAGCCGATAGTTGTAATCCCAGCCTCTCAGTAGGCAAAGAATGGTAGAATTTTGGTTCAAGGCCACACTTGAACCATTCTTGACTATATGTTGAATAGTGCTAACATAGTTATGCAGATGTTTCTTGGACAGACTGATTTGATTTCCATTGGACACTTACCAAATACTGGAATAGCTTCATGACCTGGTACTTATTTTAATTTTTAATGAACATACTATTATCCATAATAGCTAGTGAATTACTACTTGCAATAGTGTGCAAAGATTCCCTTTTTTCCATAGCCTTACCAAGTCTAGTTATAATTATCTTTTTGACTGCCGTCATTCTATCTGCAGTGAAGTGATGTTTTTCTGTGGTTTTAATGACATTTCCCTGATGGTTACAGATATTGAATCTTTTCCATGTACCTGTCGACCATTTCTACATCTTCCTGTAACAACTTTATTTAGGTACAATGCCAACATTGTGTGTGTGTGTGTGCAATGCCAACATTTTGTGTGTGTGTGTGTGTGTGTGTGTGTGTGTGTGTTGGTCCTGGGGCTTTAACTCTAGACTTAAAGTCTGTCCTTGAATTTTTTTTTTTTTTTGCTCAATGCTAGCACTCTACCATTTGAGCCATATTTCCACTTCTGATCCTTTTGTTGGTTAATTGAAGTTAATCATCTCATGCACATTTTTTCCTAGGCTCACCTCAAACAATGATCCTCAGATCTCCTGAGTAGCTAGGATTATAGACATGAGTCACCAGGGCCAAGCATAAAGTTGTTTTAATTGAGAGCTTTGATGGTTATTGTTTTAAATACTTAACACAAAATGTATATAACCACTTATAAATAATACTTAACACAATGTACTTTTTAAGTTCTACAGGCAAAAAGAAATAAACTATCCTGCCAGGTATTAGAGTGCTTGATTAAAAGTTCAGAATTATATTCAAAATATTATAATGTGAGTTAGAAAGAATGCAATAAAGTGTAATAAGCAATTTCTCATTTCTTCAATTTTCCTAAGGGATTAAGAGACAGACTCCTGACCATTAAAAACTTCTTTCTGTTTATGTGATGGGGGTACAGATCAATATATAACCAAGATGCTAAAAGAGGACACACTTTGATGCTTCTTGAAGATACATAGAAGATAAATCAGACAAATCAATGTCTTTATAGTATCTTGATTATCAAAGAAAAATCATTTCAAAAGGTTAATATATAAACAAATCATAAAATTCAAATAATCCATATATTTTTCTCCAGAGGCTATTTGTATATTCTACAATAATAATATCTCTATCCCCTATTAAACATGTTTAAATACTGAAATTATTACCATCACTTATTTTTTAGACAAAGTAAAACATTTAAAATATATCCCTAACCATAGTAAACAAGTAATTAGATAATTTTATTGTAGTTTCAATAAACCTACACCAAAAGATTATTTTTCATACAATAAGTTTCCACTGCAAATATGGATGTCTTTAATAGTATATTCTGGATTACTACAATTTATAATTGTAAACAATTACTGGGTGCAGTATATGCATAAAAATAGCACTTCAGTGATCCAAGTGTTTAATGAGCTTGTCATTTTGCACAAAGTGTGAAACATTTCAATTATATCCCAGTGCAGCCACACATACTGACTTACTTAGAACACTTACTGATCTCTGTAGATCTACTAGGTACAGGAGGGGGCTGTGTGCCATTGCGCGCAGGTGTGGAAGACTGGTGTGACATTGGCGAAAATGGAATCATATCGAAGATGTCAGTGGAGGGAGACTTAGATGTCACACTGCCTGCCTGTAATGATGATGATATGCGTTAGCATGGAGACACCTATTTCATATGAATATAGAAATTATAAATGAATTCAGTTGAATCATAACTTACCACTCATGTATTAAAAACAAAAATATTGACACTGTCATAGTTTAATCTGTTATGCCAAATGTTTGAAGGAAATTTCTGTAAAAATACTCTGAAAAATGCTACCAAAGATAGCAGCAATGTAATTGTAGATGAGCATACAGCATTGGATAGATTTTTATGTATCTAGAAATACTAGACATTCATATCAGAAAATTAGAAATGTGGGGAACTGCATAAAATATGCTATCTGTAATACAGTAAGCAGAAAAAATCGGCAGTGACCTGCTTTCCCAATTACAAAAATTCAAATGCACTGAATATTTTTATATTCTTAGAGTACATCTTAATTTGACTTTATAAGTAGAATGACAACTGGATATATGTGTTGTATTTCATTACTGACAATTTTAAGCTTTTGTAATAATCAATCATTTTACAAAATAAATTAATAATTACCAGTATACCATAAAATCAGTATAACCTGGGTTTCAATACAGAACAGATGCAGGGGAAATAAAAGTCCTATAAGGTAGCCAGGAAATAATCATCACCTTGTCAAAAAAAGGAAAATACCTTAGTATAATCTATAGGAATTGTCTGACCTGATCATGAATAAAAGAGAATTCCCCTCTTGAAGAAATAAGAGAGAAAAAAGGCTTACTATTCCTATTGGATCATGAACAGAGATTGACTGGTTATTTCTCAGAACATATTCATTTCTGATTCATAGATGATATAGGTGATGACAAAATGAGGCCGGTTATATGTGCAGAGTGATGGATTTGCTATTCAGTTAAAATGTATAATAGTGTATTTTTTCATGCAGGAAAAAACTGCTCTCATCTCCTTCCCTTTAACAGTTGGCTTTCAGCATCTCTAAACCCCTGCTTTTTATTCAAGAATATTACTCTCTTAATTATCTCATCCCTTCTATTCCCTGCTTTTCATAACTCTCCTCCTTCTCAGGAAAAAATAAAAAGTACTCATATCCTAACTGTCATTGAAAATAAAACAAAGGACCAAATACCTGTCCTTTTTAAATTTTTTTTAAACTGCTGAAGCCTCTCCTCTTTTTGTTTTTTTCCTTCTTCCTGTTTTTTTTCAGGGCTCTTTCAAGACTAGTGTCCTTAAAAGAGACACTCGTCTTCCTGTCCTAACTTTTATTTCATTCAAATTAGATTTATTTCAGATCAATCTAGATGTTGCTCTTTTTGCACTAACTATACAAAAACTCTTTTGTATATACACATTACCAGTGACCTCATTTCCTGGCAATCATGTCTTATGGGTTATTTGAACTATTTATCTTATTTTATCTATGTGGACTTGTATACTGTCATCATTCTCTGCTAGAACCTCTGATATCACACTATCAAAGGAAATAAAAATGGCATACCAAGGTTTCAGATCCCATCACATTAATTCAAAATCTGCCTGCCATTTTTATTACTACATAAAGTAAACATTCTGGAAGAAGTAAAAAAATAAGTAAAAGGAAGTTTTTGTTTTCCAAATTACATGAGGTCTTGGAATGCTGTGCTCACTGCCTGGCTTAGGAAGGCCACTTTTAGAAGGTGGAGGTATTAACAGTCCCAGTGATAGTCTGGAATCAGACGAGTTGACAGGAGTGACAGAAATGGAAGACATATTTAGACAAGGAGATGAAGCATCACTACTATGCCAAAGAGAAGATGAGCGTCTCTGAAGCCCAGGTGGCTCATGATCAGACATTTGGTGCAGCAGCTGTAAAGGAACAACACAGAGAGAAATATGCTAAGGAGAAGGAAGAAGGGATGGAAGAAGGGAAAGGTAGGTATGAAAATTCATTTGTAAAAGGATGTTTTGTGAAAACAATAGTATACTTTCACACTAACTTCAGTGAAGTTTGAACACATTGTTGAAGCTGATTTGCTTGTTGAAGCTGATTTGCTTAGTGTGGTAATCTTGAGGTTCTTGATTGCTTTGATCATTTTTCATTGAGATATCATAATTTTAGGTAGATTAAATATAATATTGGCTTCACTAGAGCATGAGAAGTAAACAGTACAGAAGAAATTGGAAAATCTTGAGATTTGTTTTAGATCAAGCCAAAATAAATCTGTGCAATGAAATGACAAGAGATCAAAGATGGTAGTGAGACCTCAGTAAAATAGGAGTGAACTCTTCTAAGTACAGATCTGAGCAATTTTCAAAAAACATTATCACATGCCTTTTAAGTGTAATGCTCAAGACATTCTTTGTAACTATTACTAATGGCACAGTTGTGTTTTTTAATGGTAATAGACACAGTAATTAAGGTCCAAAAATTCACTATGATCTAGTCTGATGAACTAATTTTGAACAGACTGGTCCTACTCATCTTGCCTTTCCTATGAAGTGTTGAGGGTTTTCAATTGTAACATGTTTGGGGACTGGAAAGAGGGAGCTGTCAATAATCTCAATAAAGTCAAAATGTGACTCTATGTATAATAACAGTTTCTTTTGGGGGCGGGGGGGGGAATCCGGTCATGGGGCCTGAACTCTAGGCCTGGGTGCTGTCCCTCAGCTCTTCAGCTCAAGGCTAGCACTCTACCATTTGAGCCACAGAGCCACGTCTGGCTTTTTGTTTTCTTTTCTGCTTATGTGGTGCTGAGGAATCGAACCCAGGGCGCCTCATGCATGCAAGGCAAGCCCTCTACCACTGAGCCACCTTCCCAGCCCCCATAGCACCTGTTTCTTAACACATTTATTTGGATGGTTTTTAGAGATTATTTCCCATAAAGCAGGGAAACTTACTTCTGAGAGCTGAACTGGAGAGAGCCTAGCTATCGAATGCCATAGACATCAATGAACTAAACTAAAACTAAAACTAATTATTAACTCTTTATTCACTAACTGCAGTTGTAGAAGCAGGAGAACAGGAAGAAACTGCCTAGCCCATCACCGCTCCATATTCCCCACATGAAATCACACTGGACATAGGTCAGAGTATCATTACCCAAGTTGGGCACTGGCTTTTAGTTGATAGAGCCTGGGCAAAAAGTCCCTCAGGATCTTTGCAGAAGGGGACAGAGAGAAGGAAAAGGGAAAGGGAAAGACTAGATTTAGACAATACTGAATACTAAGTCATAGAGGAGAAAGTATCTCCAAGATATCCAGAATAACACAGTGAAGGCAGAAGCATTTCAGTGTGTCTTTGGCCAAGGGCTCCGAAAGAGGCCTCTAACTCAAAGCTAGAAACGCAGATATACATAGGAGCATGGCTGGCCAGTGGGACTTAGGTCTCAGTTTCTTCAAACTCTGTGCCAACTGGTGTGAGGAAGGCCAGCTTTCCCTATAAGGCTTTGCCTAGTGGGCTTGGTTATTTCCAGTGTTCAGACTAAAAGGATCATGTCTGTAGCTTTAGTCTAGAGCTGTACTCCTAAGTTAAAAGTCACAATGGACAAGGATTTTCAACCAATATTGATAGGACTTTGATGCAGCAAACAAAATGTGACTTCTGACAAACCTAATTGTCAAAGTTAGTGAACTAAAACAAGAAGGACCAACAAGTTTGAGGAACATTTATTACCCAACAACTATCAGCTTCCACATTTGTGGAAACGGGGAAAATGAGAGACTTCAGTTGAAGAAAAGATTGAGTTCGGAAGTAAATCACAGATATTCTCAGTTATATTTGACTCTAGTAATATGCATACATGGCAGAATTACTTATATTATATGACATACATTAGCCAGAAAATCCTCCCAGATGCCTCAAAACGGCCAAGTCAAAATAGCTTAATATAAAGGTACTCCGTTAATAATCATGTTTTCTCAGGATGCTCCTTCCTCTGGGAAAATAAATGGAAAAATAAAGACTACAACTGGTTGTGGTTGCTAGTGGCTACGTCTATAATCTGAGCTACTCAGGAGGTTGAGATCTGAGGATCGCAGTTCAAAGCCAACTTGGGCAGGAAAGTCCATGATACTCATATTCAACAAACTACAATAATAAAAAAAAAACCATCCTTGAGACTCTCATCTCCAATAAACTATCCAGAAAAAGCCAGAAATGGTGCTGTGGCTCAAGTGGAAGAGTGCTAGCCTCAAGCATAAGGAGGCTCGGGGACAGTGCCCTGGCCCTGAGAACAAGCCCCAGGAAAGGCAAAATACAAAAACAAAAAAGAAATCTCACGTTTCTATATCAAGGAGAATTCTACCCTCAAAAATTACTTGTTAATTGTGCAGGAGTTGTTTAGCTATTAAGGCATAATAATAGTAAGAGTCACATTTGAGATTTGTAGTTGCTATAGATTAGGCTCTGGTTGCTATTTTCCTGTGACAACTAGATGAATATCACAACAGGGATGCAATCCTATCATTAGCTATTTAAACAATAAAATAATTGCATTAAAATTATATAAAGTCTGAGCTATTATATTATATATATATACAGAAATACTAGGACATTGAAATTTTATTCTCTTCTATTAATTATATTGGCAGCATAAACCTCCAGACTCCTTTTAAATATAAAATAAATTCCAGACTAAAAGCCAGGTGCTGGTGGCTCATGCCTAGCTACTCAGAAGGCTGAGATCTGAGGATCACGGTTCACAGCAAGCCCAGGCAAGGGAAGTTGAGAGATTCTTCTCTCCAATTAACCACCAGAAAACTGGAAGTGGTACTGTGACTCAAAAGCTGAAGAGTTCATGGGCTGGGAAGGTGGCTCAGTGGTAGAGTGCTTGCCTTGCATGCATGAAGCCCTGGATTCGATTCCCCAGCACCACATAAGCAAAAAGAAAAAAAGCCGGAAGTGGCGCTGTGGCTCAAGTGGTAGAGCACTAGCCTTGAGCTGAAGAGCTGAGGGACAGCGCCCAGGCTCAGAGTTCAGGCCCCACGACCGAACCCCCCCCCCAAAAAAGCTGAAGAGTTCAGAGACAGAGCCCAGGTTCAGAGTTCAAGCCCAA